ATATTGCCCCCAACAATTTGGGTCCTCATTTTATTGACCTTGGAAGGATGGAAGGCTGAGTCAACCTTGAGCCGGGGGGATTTGAACTGCTGAACTGCAGCTAGCAGTCAGCTGAATTAGCCTGCAGTGCTGCACTCTAACCACTGTGCCGCCTTGGCTCTTAATGGTACATGTAGAATGATAAAGTTCAACCATTCTTCCCTCGATTCCCACGTATCTAGTTTTATTCTCTCCCACATGAACACAATTTAAATTATATTTAAAGAAAATAGATTCCTTGGCACCTTCACTGTGGGAATTCTGCTTTTCCTTCAACTGCCTGTTCTCTTTTTCCAATTTCTTAATTTTTAATTGGAGTTCCTTCATTAACTGCTTTGTCTGTTCCAGTTCAGAAAATAAGGTCTGGTTCGCATTGTTGAGATGCCAATGTTGCTCTTTTAATTTCTGGAACTTCTCTCTGGGGAGAACCATCTGTTCCTGTTTTCTGTGGAGGACTGCATCTACCCAAGAAATGAAATAAAATATTGATCAGTCACATAAATATATGCAAACCTTTGGGTAAAACGGCTGACTCTAAGAATCTTTATTTAGAAGCAGGCATTTTGCATTGATGATAAGGCTTCTGTCTCAACGGAAATGATTACTTAATCCACTCCAATAGCTTGAAGATATGTTTTAATAATTATAAAAGTTATATAAGACATATCTTAATTCAATTGCAAACGGCAACAGATTTTTATGTTTTTATTTTGTGGGAAACAATTTACCGTTTCTTCACCCTTAAAAAGTCTTATAGTGAGACTAGATGTATATCCAATGCAGGAGCTATCATTAATACAAAACATACAGAATGAAGTACTTTGGAGTTAAAAGCAGGGGGTGGGGGGAACACTGCAGGGAGTGTACAATATTTTTATAGCATACATAGCAACTCTTTAAAGCAGCTTTAACTTTTTCTAGGATTTCACAGCTGTCCTCTATAGCTATAACAGGATCCCAGGAAAAGATTCATTTCGTTATAGGAGTTGCGGAAACCAATTAGTTAATGAAATCAAAATTCTGTAAAATCCTCCATTTCCATTTTAGATTCCAGAGTTTAGCAATATAGGCAAATCTCAAGGGTAGCTTATGTTAACCATGGGCTTAAAGTTGGCTTGCTTCTAGTAACAGTTCTGTTAATTTGAGCTACAATTTTTCCAGTGTCAGTAATATTTGAAGGCAAGTAATGATTATTTGAAAATAAAACAACAGTTTTTGGACTCCTCCTCATGACTGTATAGGAAGACATGGGGAAAGAAACAAGTCCCAAGTTCTTATTAGGTTACATTATAGCTCAGAACTACACTCAACCTATTCTGTAGAAGCCAACACAGTTCATTTACACTAAACTTAAATTTAGAGAGTTTGTACCTGAAGACGAAGGCGGTTTTTCATTCAGGGGAGTTTCATCTGAGTGGTCTCCCTAGAAATGGAACAAAATATTTAACCTAATAGGACCCCTCATTTTCACCCACAAAATAACAGCAACTATTCCAGAAGGCATACACTAAACATTTAAACATTGATGTTCTTTAGTTCTAATTTCGAAAGTTTAATTTTTTTTAAATTTCCAGATTCAATCACTTAAATAAAAATGAACAATGCATAAAAGGACAAATAAAAATGAAAGGCGAACAATTTAGCCTTTCACCCCTCCATCTAATTGGAGGACTCTGCAGAGTTCAATCAATTTCCAGAATTTTCCAGCCTGCATGTAGTGTACATATCTTCAAGTTGCCAAGTTGACAAACACTGTAGAGACATAGGTGTAGAATAGAAGGAAACCACTATCCCTGGAGCTGTAAGTGAGTTTGAAATTCCAAGAGCCTTTCTACAACTTTTATCATAAAGGACAGGATGAACAGAACTGGAGGGAAAAGACCATACAATCTTTCCTGAACTTCTTAAAGAAATATCAAATGAGAAGACATAAATCTGTCCTTAACTGAAATCATGGAACATAATTTTTATGCTGTGCTTACCTGAAACCTCACTCCAGGATGTTCAATTTCTGTAATATAAAAATGTGTTTGTTGTTAGGTATAAAGGAGAAATATATCAAATAGAATGCAATGCTCTAAATCAAGCTGGAGCTTTCACGATCCGTCTAGTTTCATCTTGTTTAGTTTCTAATTTTTCCACCTTTATCTTAAATAAATATCTTAGCAAGTGTAAAAGATTAGGAAAATGGAGGTTTGTGCTTTTATTTTTAAATTTAAAAAATTATTTTCTGCTCTGTGCAGGGAAAAAGATGAAAAGGAATACATGTAAGAAGTAATCATCCTTGTCTTGTTCATTTAGATTCAGATTCTCTCTTTCTCACTGTCAACTATGCAACCTTCCCCCACATACAGGGAAAAAATATCCAGTCTCAACTACGGTGCTAGAACAAACAACACATTATACTAATGGTGGGAAGCAGATGGTAGAAACGTTTATCTTCTCCTTAATCCTAATGCTCATTTCTCACCTTCAACCTGAACATTTGGCTGGATGAGACAACTTGGTTCGTAGACAGAAGAATCGTCTTCACCATTGGCACTAGAAGATACTGGGAGATTTTCCTAAGTAAAAAAATATTGCAATACACCTTATAAATTCAAAGTTCACATGGAAATTGATGTTACAAAAAGGCTCTAAGCAGCTGACGTCATTATAAAACAGGACCCTGATCAAAAAGAAGAAAACCAGAAACACATCAAAGGACAAATAGGATAAGCGGGTGTAATAAGTGTGCTTGAATACACATTAAACAAGAAATAACAAACTGCAGTCTCCTGAGCCTTTTATGTCCTGTGAAAGCATCCCTCATGCTCAAAATGAGCCACGAAACAACAGACTACATGATGTATATGTAAAGGTAAAGGTTCTCTTCGTACATAAGTGCTAGTCGTTCCTGACTCTAGGTGGTGGTGCTCATCTCCATTTCAAAGCCAAAGAACCAGCGCTGTCTGAAGACGTCTCCATGGTCATGTGGCCAGCATGCCTAACACTGTTACCATCCCACCAAAGTGATCCTTATTTTTCTACTTGCATTTTTTACCTGCTTTCGAACTGCTAGGTTAACAGAAACTGGGAGCAGTAAGGGGAGCTCACTCCGTTACTCATTGTTTTGTATTTATTTACAAAATAAATTTCATTTTGAATAAAATAGAAATGATTATTTTTTTTAAAAAAGAACATTCCAATCTCCAAAGGACCGCATAATAGAAAATTTGCAGGGAAAACAACAAGGACAGGGGAGTCTTATAATTTGTGTTCAGATAGCTAAAAGAAAAAATGTTGAAAGCTTACCTGTTTGATTTTATGTGGCGTAGCATACATAATCTCATGACTCATGCTTTCTTTTTTATCAATAATTTGATGGTCGGGATCCAATTCTTTCTCTGTGTCAGAAGCGAATGTATCCATGTCATCCTCACAACTCTCAGATGCATGATTCTTCCAGTTTGGACTATAAACAGAAAATATAGTACAAGTATAAGAAACGGGAGCTCTCCGTTACGCAGTGCTAGAGATTTGAACCACCCAACTGCTGACCTTTCTGATCGACAAGCTCAGCGTCTTAGCCACTCAGCCACCGCATCCTTTACTTCCTACTTTACAGGCAATTAAAAATTCACAGTGCTTCTCATATTAATGTTTTTACTAGTCAGACATTTCTTCTGAATGTTTGCCAATCTTGAATCAGCAGTGGTTTTCAAAGAAAGCTTTTTATGGTGTTTTAAGAAATACACAAAACTTTCTTAAAACACCATAAAACAAGAACTATAAATTATTTTATACCAAACGGATTAGGTGAGCCAAAACGGGCAATGTTTTCTACCTCATTCGTAGCTCAGTGATGGTGGCATATGGTTCAATGCAGTCTTCCTGATCTTGCAAGTAGCTGGCATCACTTTCCGAAAGAGATCGCTGACGAGGCTGAGGGAGGGCAATCGTTCGTCCAGTTAAGGTCGTCACAAGAATAGCAGCTGCTAAAGCAGACCTGGGGGAAAAAATAAAAATAATAATAATCATGGATCAGGAGGCTGGGATAAGATAAGGTAAAATACTTAATCATAATGAGTTCAAAATCAAAGTTAAATTAAATAAAACATAAATCTTAATACAATTGCTTCCTGTATCTAGTACTTTCCTTTCAACAGCTAGCTTTATATATAGCTATTTTTCAATAGGCTATGCGACTGTTTACATGGGGGAGAGAGTCCAGGCTGTACTGAGACCCCTCGACAGAAGTGGGTTCCTACCGCTTCGGACGAGTAGGTAGTAACTTGGTGGCCTGGGTTGCTGGAATTGGCAACGACCCCGGCCTGCCACACCCCCGAACCAGTTCTCTCGGCGGTGCAGTAGGTGGCGCCATCTTGTTTTTGGCTTCTGCGCTTGCACAGAAGCATTTTTTAGTACTGCGCATGAGCGTATATCACACATCATGTGCACGTATGGCGCGTCCCTGAGGGAACTGGCAGTAGCAGCAGCCGGAACCCACCCCTGCCCCTCAACATATGCATTATGAATGTTAAAACATGATATGGTTTCAACTGTCTGAAATAATAGAGAAACACCCACAATGCACACCCAACAAAAGAAGCAATGTTTCTCTACAATAGAAATAGAAACTGTGTTAAGTAATGTATAAGTGCTGCTGTACACCTATATTGGATCTATTAAATCCACTGTTGGGTTTAATTGAGTCAAAACCCACGGGAAATAAAAGATTCATCAATGACAGCTTTAATACTGAGCCATAATATCATATCATTCTTTTGAGTAATGAAAACAATCCATTTAATTTATTCTTTTTTAATTTTAGTAAGCTAAACTCTAATCTCACCCGCAATGCAAAGTTTACTGGGGGAAGCCACATTTCCTACTTTCAGCTGCACTGGCATTTATACTCTATCGATCTCCATCTGCATTTTATTGCATATGCACGTGCTCCCCAATGCTGCCATGCAAAGGAGGATTCCAGCTGATGCAACAATGGGCCAATACAAACACCTTTCAAAAGTGCCAAATATCAGGATAGTGATGGAGGCATAATTGCTATCGGCTGTAATAAAGCAACATTTGTCAGTGATGGAAGGAGTCGGAATCTCTACAAAAATAATAAGAACACAGCTGCAGCTCATATTATAATATTAAGCTGGCTATGATCTGTAAATTCTTGGAAGGGAGTCTTATTTTTTCCCTATTCCAAAAGACAAGCTAACACCAGGCTTGAAAGTTTAAGCCTGGATAACCTTAAACTACGCCATCTACGTTCCAACCTGAGCTTAGTGCACAAGATAATATGCCATAATGTACTACCTGTTAATGACTACTTTTACTTCAACCTCAATAACACAAGGGCTATCAATAGGTACAAACTAAATCTAATCCTTTCTAATCTTGATTGTAGGAAAAACAATTTCAGCAATGGAGTAGTAAATGGGTGGAACACCATCCCTGATCCTGTTAGTTCTTCTAACCTCCATACCCTTTACCTTAAACTGTCTACTGCAGACTTTACGCATTTCTTAAGAGGTCCCTAAGGGGGTGTGCATAAGTGCACCAGTGTGCCTACCATCCCTGTCCTACTGTCCCATTTATATGTACTCTTTTTAGATGTTTATGGCTATGCTTTGCTTATTTATATCCATTTATTTGTGCCATTTTTTCATGTGTTTTCATACTTGTTTCCTTGTACTTGTTGACAAACAATAAATAAATAAATAAATAAATAACCACATTTATACTATAAAGTAGACTGTGTTCAATGCTGCCGAAAACCTCTTTAAAATTATATAACATGCAAATATGTGGTACCCATTTCTCTTTCCAATGTAATCATACATACGTCTGGTGTATACAAATGTACAGGCAAAATAAAGCCATTCTGCATATTCAAATATCCATTAATAATATTAATTCTATTACGTGACTGAAAATCAAGAGATGAAAAAACCTACCTGGGCCTTTCTGGAGAAGGGTTTGGACTACGAGGGGGAGGGGTGCGGGGGACAGCAGGTTTAGGAGCTATGGTAGCTGCAGGGATCAGGCCATGAGCTATATGTTTCTAAACAATTTAAAATAAAGTTAGTTGGCAATGATTGAATTAACACAATGGAGAAACAGAAAAAGGTACATGCACAAGGAATAACAACATGAAAGGGAGGAACATGTACATGCAAATTAATGTCGGCGGCAAGCCTAAATGGTTTTGAAGGTGATGCGCAAAACAACCATATCCCCACAAAATAATAGTTATTTCTGTGGCTACCTACTGTAACTTTTCTTATACTATTCTATGTATTTATTTTCGCACACATTTGATTCTTGAGTTACAATGTAATTTTTGAAATGTTCCTTCTTTGTAGAAAGCATCCTATTCTATATAAAACAGCTATTCTGTTTCAGAAAACAAAGTTACTGGTGATGTTTATATAATTTCCCTAGATTCAAGTGACAATGTTTCTATAAGAATCTCCATGAACGCTCATAGCTATCTACTCCTCCTTCTACCAAATTCAGTTAACATACCTAGTCAGTTTCATCATTTATTTATCAAGACATGCAAATTGAGAACTCTGACTTATCCTCTTGGACCAACCCCAGAACCAAGTAACCAAAAGATTCAGGTGGATTGGATATGGCACGTGGGGGGGAGGGGCAATTCAGGTTGGGAAGGGTGCCTAAGAACGCATGAGAGGTTGTGTGTGGGTCAGAGAAAGCATGTGGAGTGGGGGGCAGCATGGGTTGGAGAGGGTGCAGGGGATGGTGCGAGTTGAGGAGGACAAGCAGAGATTCACGAAAAGTGCCAGGTGGGTCAAGAAGGGTTTTCAAAAATTGCTGTGTGGATCAGGGGGAGTGCATACAGGTGTGCTGTATAGTCCAGGTAAGGCATGCAATGGAGGCAGCATAGGTCAGGGAAGTGCATTATGGTATACAGAGGTCACAAGGCTTACAAAAGGCACCCAGGGTGGTGGTATGTGTCGGGAAGGATGCATGGGCATTCCTCCTTCCCTTTCCCTTCCCACCAGGAAGGTGACAAGTGCTGGGAGCAAGGGATTGCAAAAGTGGCTGGGAAGCTGTCATAGCCCATTGATAACGGGAGTCATGTGACCGTAGCAGTAGCCCAGTAAGTTCCCCAAATTTCATTCCCTAAGAAGTAAAAGGACCAGGCGCTACATAAAGTAGCCCATATAAAAGGGGCCTTTGTTCACAAATTCTTGCCCTATGATGCACCATTTTCTCCAGTTAAAGATTACTACGGACATTAGTTTTAAAGGCTGATAAATCAATTAAAAGATAGATACAGACGGAGAGCTACTAGTTAGTTAGAAATAGCTAGCTAGGTAAGATAGATATGATAGAGAGAGAGAGAAAGAAATAGATAGATGTAATAGATATTATATATCTATATCTATATATAGATAGATATAGAGATAGATAGATAGATAGATAGATAGATAGATAGATAGATAGATAGATAGATAGATAGACAGAGCGAGACAGAGAGAGAGAAATAGATAGGATTGAGAGAAAAAGAGAGAGATACGATAAAGAAACAGAGAGAAAGATAAATAGATAGGATAGATACAAAAGAGCGAGAGAAAGATTGATAGATAGATACAATAGAGAGAAAGAAAAAAGATAGACAGATAGGATATATATAGAGAGAGAAAGCGAGAGAGGGATACGATAGAGAAAAAGATAGGATAGAGAGAGAGATATGATAAAGAAAGAAGAGAGATGATAAATATGATAAAGCGAGAAAGATTGATTGATAGATATGATAGAGAGAGAGAGAAAGAAATAGATAGATGTAATAGATATTATATATCTATATCTATATATAGATAGATATAGAGATAGATAGATAGATAGATAGATAGATAGATAGATAGATAGATAGAT